TAATAACAATAAGACTAGCAACAATAGTCGTTGCAGCAGAGGGTGTCGAGCAGGAACACGGGGGCAGCAGGTGACCCGCAACCACAGATCCAGACTCCACAGCTCCAGAGCCAGAAAACCTGCAGGAAGTGATAGGAGGAGAGAGGAGAGGGACGAGAAAGCACAAGACTACCAGAAAGGGGAGAAGTTGAGTTAGTAACATGCAATAATGGGATGAGGTTGCATACAGAGGGAGAGAAAGTAGAGGAGAGAGGAGCTCAGTGCATCATGGGAAATCCCCCGGCAGTCTAGGCCTATAGCAGCATAACTAAGGGATGGTTCAGGACTCACCTGAGCCAGCCCTAACTATAAGCTTTATCAAAGAGGAAAGTCTTAAGCCTACTCTTAAATGTGGAGATGGTGTCTGCCTCCTGAACCCAAACTGGAACCTGGTTCCACAGGAGAGGAGCTTGATAGCTGAACGCTCTGGCTCCTAGTCTACTTTTGGAGACTCTAGGAACCGCAAGTAACCCTGCATTCTGGGAGCGCAGTGCTCTGGTGGGGTAGTAAGGTACTATGAGCTCTTTAAGATAAGATGGTGCCTGACCATTAAGAGCTTTGTAGGTAAGAAGAATGATTTTAAATTCTATTCTGGATTTTACTGGAAGTCAATGCAGAGAAGCTAAAACAGGAGAAATGTGATCTCTTTTCCTGGTTCCTGTCAGAACACGTGCTGCAGCATTCTGGATCAGCTGAAGAGTCTTAATGGACTTTTTCGAGCAGCCTGATAATAAGGAATTGCAGTAATCCAGCCTAGAAGTAACAAATGCATGGACTAGTTTTTCTGCATCATTTTTAGACAGGATGTTCCTGATTTTCGCAATATTACGTAGGTGAAAAAAGGCGGTCCTTGAAATCTGACTCATCATGTACAAACTGAAATCGATCTGACAAATAGGACTTAAACCAGCTTTGAGTGGTTCCTTTAATGCCAATGAAATGTTCCAGTCTCTGCAATAGGATCTGGGAGGGACTGAAATTAGCATAGGAGTCCTCCGTTACTTTGTGACTTGATAATGAATTTAGAGCTGATGGAATCACATCCTTAAATTTAGCAGACAGACATCTTGTATAGACATTTTTGCCCAATGGCGAGTAGTTCAGCAATACAAACTCAAAAGTTATCAAACAGTGGTCGGATAAAGAGGGATTCTGTGGGAACACCACTAAATGTTCAATTTCAATACCATACACCAAAACAAGGTCGAGGGTGTGGTTAAAACAGTGAGTCGGTTCATGAACACTCTGAGAGAAGCTGATGGAATCTAACAAAGAGATAAACGCAGTACTGAAGCTGTCATTCTCAACGTCCACATGAATATTAAAATCTCCTACAATAATAACTTTGTCCGTTTTAAGGACTAAAGTTGACAAAAACTCTGCAAACTCAGATAAGAATTCAGAGTACGGGCCAGGTGCTCGGTACACTATAACGAAGAGAATTGGTTGCAGTGATTTCCAACTTGGGTGTGAAAGACTAAGAACAAGGCTTTCAAATGAGTTATAGTTTGGTTTAGGTTTAGAGCTGATTAGTAGGCTAGAGTCGAAGATAGCTGCAACTCCACCTCCTCGGCCTGTGCCTCGAGGAATGTGAGTATTAATATGACTGGGAGGGGTGGATTCATTTCAACATATTCTCCATCACCCAGCCAGGTTTCAGTAATACCAAATAAATCAATATCATAATCTGATATTAGTTCATTTACTAGTACACCTTTAGAAGAGAGAGATCTGATGTTTAAGAGTCCACATTTAACTCTCCTATTCGTTTGCACTATTGCTCTTGTGGTTTTAATTTTTATGAGGTTTTTATGCCTCAACTAAAACCTACGGTGAGGCATCCTTTCAATCTCATGGCCCGCGTTTGTGGAACTCCCTTCCTGTTGAGCTGAGAGCAGCAGGAAATCTGGACACGTTTAAAGGCAAAGTAAAGACATACCTATTTAACCAAGCGTTTAACTGAGCTGTATTTTGGGTGGGGCGGGGATTGATTGTTGGGCTTGACCTGCTTTTTATTTCATTTTATAGTATTTTGAATATTTTAAATGGTTCTATAGTGTGAAGCACTTTGTGTTACATGTATTTGTATGAAAAGTGCTATATAAATAAAGATTGATTGATTAAATGTTTCACTAGTGTTTTCAGTGATATACCGTTTTGTGATTACCTCTGTTTGTACATTTGTGTGCACGCGGATGATCAGAGAGAGCAACATCAGTCACCACAACCTTGGAGATGACCAAGTGGTGGTAGAACATATCATTGGGTTATGAACTTTTTATTTGACAGGGAAACACAAGTAAGGGTAGGTGCAGAATACTCCAGTGTATATAAAGGTGGAGAATGGGACTCCGCAAGGTAGTGTGTGTAGCCCGCTGTTGTTCAACATAATGTTAAATGGCATCTTCTCTTGGGTTGAACAAAGCGTAGGGAAATCTTTCTACGCAGATGATGGGGCTCTGTGAGTAAGAGGCCGCAATGTTTCACGTCAGTAAGAAAATGCAAGCTGCAATAGCTGCTGTGGAAAAATTAGCAAATACATGGGGATTCAAATTATCTGTAGCAAAGACACAAGTGATCTGTTTCTCAAGGCGGCATAAAGTCACGCCTATTTCTATGAAGTTATATGAACAACCACTTGAGCTGGTCAAAACAGTTGATGATGATAAGCTCACATGGAAAATTCATTTAGACAAAGTTGAGATCAAATGTAAAAAGGTCATCAATATACTTTGTTGTCTGTCAGGACAAGAGTGGGCAGCAAGCAGAGCAGCTCCACAAAATATTTACTGGGCACTCATGAAATCCGTTTTTGACTGGATGTGTAGCGTACATGTCAGCAGCAGAATGAAACCTTAAGAAGTTGGATGTATTACAAGCTCAGGCCTTGAGAATTTGCAGTGGCTCAGTCAGAACATCTCCGGTGTCAGCAATGCAGGTGGAAATGGGAGAAATGCCCTTAAGGATCAGGCGAGTAAAGTTAATGCTGGCATACTTGGTTAATCTCCAGGGGCTCTTAATAGATTGCTGGGAGCACAATGAGACAAATGTCACAAGTGCTGGGTGGATTGGTGATGCAAAGGCAGAAGTCATAGGATTAAGACAATTAGATTACAGCCCTACAGTGTCACAGTCTGTAGATCTAAACATACAGCAGGAATTGAAGATATGTCAAAGAAACTTCCAGAATGCAGCATAGTACAGAATTATTTTGATCTGCATTTTTCAGACTCCGTGTTTATATTCCCAGACGGCTCCAAAGATCCTGATCCAGGGCATGCAGGTGCAGCAGTTTATATTCCAGCAAGTGAGTCATGTTTTAAGAAAAGAGATGAATGTGCTTTGGTCCGAAATGTGCATATCAACCCAAGATCAAAAGCAACAGACCTTGTGAAGATGCTGGCTGAAGCTGGTAAGAGTGTGTCATTATCCACAGTGAAACGAATACTGTACCGACAAGGCCACTCTGCCAGGAAGAAGCCATTGCTCCAAAAGAAACCAGATTACAGTTTGCAAGTGCACACAGGGACAAGGACCTTAATTTCCAGAGACATGTCCTTTGGCCTGATGAAACTAGAATCAAACGGTTTGGCCATAATGACCATTGTTACGTTTGGAGGACAAAGGGGGAAACTTGCAAGTCTGAGAACACCATCCCGACGGTGAAATACAGGGGTGGCAGCATCATGGTGTGGGGTTGTTTTGCTGCAGGAGGGACTGGTGCACTTCACAAAAATGATGGCATCATGAGGAAAGACCATTATGTGGGAAATACTGAAGCAACATCTCAAGACATCAGCCAGGAAGTTAAAGCTTGGGCGCAAATGGGTCTTCCAATTGGACAATGACCCGAAGCATACTGCCAAACTAGTTCCAAAGTGGCTTAAGGATAACAAAGTGGCCATCACAAAGCCCTGATCTCAATCCCACTGAAATGGGCAGAGCTGAAAAGGCATGTGCAAGCAAGGCGGCCTACAAACTCAGGACGAATGGGCCAAAATTCCTGCCAACTATTGTGAGAAGCTTGTGGAAGGATATCCAAAACGTTTGACCCAAGTCATCCAGTTTAAAGGCAATGGTACCAAATACTAATGAAATGTATGTAAACTTCTGACTTTGACCAAAGTAATCAAAAGATCCTTCTCTCATTATGGCATTCTGGCATTTAGCAAATATAAATTATTTTGGTAATCCTACTGGGCATAAAGCAGGAAAAGTGATTTCATGTCAGACAAAAAGCTTGCGAGTCTTTTTATCTAGTGTATGTTAACGTCTGGTTTCAATCCACATACACAAAAACAGTGTGGGACACCGTAGTTTTCTCTGGACCCCTGCCAAATCTAACACACCTGTCACTGTAAATTTGATGAAATAAAAGTGATATACAACAGTTATTACACAATCTTTCAAAATATACCAGGTGAATGTCCATATGTTCACTTACAGTATTTCTCTCCATACAACCACGTTCCAAATAACATAACGCCTCCAAAACGATGATTAAAACAGTCACGCTTGACAGGCTACAGCTTAAGAACAGAACATCCTACAGGGCTCTTTCTCTTCATATCGAAGAGACGATTCGATTGATATCCTGCATGCCTGTGTAGCTCCTATGGGTCGCCAGCAGAGGCCGATAAAGGCCGCCTCCGCCAAAGCAAACTCTTCTTCTCTACTTCAATCTGACAAGAGAAACGAAACTTATCAGCTCAGTAACCTCACCAAAGGTGGCGGCCCGCCAGACGTCTCCGTCGATACAAAGGACAACAGGAGAACAGCGAAAAGCAATACCGGGCAGGTCCAGTACCAAGAGGTTAAACCGGTTTAAACTGGTTTAAACTGGTGAAACCGGTTTAAACTGGTCAAACTTGGTATAAACTGATTTAAACTAGTTTAAACTGGTAGAACTGGTGAATTCAGTAATTAGCGTTAGAAAGAATAAAACAGTGAAACAGCTTCAGTCCAGTTCAGTCACTTTATTGGTCCCACACACACACACACACACACCCCCTCCACTGGCCAATGGCGGAGCAGAGGGTCCCGATGATGATCTGCGTCCTGATTTGACAGAAGGGAGGTCAGCTGACATGTCTTCAAAGTGAAATCTTTGTGTTCCTGAAGCTCGAGTTGTCCCTGAAACACACAGTCAGCACGTTAGTAGCAGAGAAACAGCTCCTCGCCAAAGCTCAGCTAGCGGCGCGTTTCCACGGCTCGACCTCCGAACGCATGTTTCTAACGCACCTTCAAACTACACAGAGTACTGGTGTGTACCGTTACTCACTCCTCTTAGTGAAACCACACAGAGTACTGGTGTGTACTGTTACTCACTCCTCTTAGTGAAACTACACAGAGTACTGGTGTGTACTGTTACTCACTCCTCTTAGTGAAACTACACAGAGTACTGGTGTGTACCGTTACTCACTCCTCTTAGTGAAACTACACAGAGTACTGGTGTGTACTGTTACTCACTCCTCTTAGTGAAACTACACAGAGTACTGGTGTGTACCGTTACTCACTCCTCTTAGTGAAACTACACAGAGTACTGGTGTGTACCGTTACTCACTCCTCTTAGTGAAACTACACAGAGTACTGGTGTGTACCGTTACTCACTCCTCTTAGTGAAACCACACAGAGTACTGGTGTGTACTGTTATGTAGTGGCAGTATTAGTACCTGAGGCTGTCGTTGTGGGTCTTGTACTCCATGATGGTGTATTACAGTAGTACTACAGTAGTGGCAGTATTAGTACCTGAGGCTGTCGTTGTGGGTCTTGTACTCCACGACGGTGTATTACAGTAGTACTACAGTAGTGGCAGTATTAGTACCTGAGGCTGTCGTTGTGGGTCTTGTACTCCATGATGGTGTATTACAGTAGTACTACAGTAGTGGCAGTATTAGTACCTGAGGCTGTCGTTGTGGGTCTTGTACTCCATGACGGTGTATTACAGTAGTACTACAGTAGTGGCAGTATTAGTACCTGAGGCTGTCGTTGTGGGTCTTGTACTCCATGATGGTGTATTACACTAGTACTACAGTAGTGGCAGTATTAGTACCTGAGGCTGTCGTTGTGGGTCTTGTACTCCATGATGGTGTATTACACTAGTACTACAGTAGTGGCAGTATTAGTACCTGAGGCTGTCGTTGTGGGTCTCGTACTCCATGATGGTGTATTACAGTAGTACTACAGTAGTGGCAGTATTAGTACCTGAGGCTGTCGTTGTGGGTCTTGTACTCCATGACGGTGTATTACAGTAGTACTACAGTAGTGGCAGTATTAGTACCTGAGGCTGTCGTTGTGGGTCTTGTACTCCATGACGGTGTATTACAGTAGTACTACAGTAGTGGCAGTATTAGTACCTGAGGCTGTCGTTGTGGGTCTTGTACTCCATGACGGTGTATTACACTAGTACTACAGTAGTGGCAGTATTAGTACCTGAGGCTGTCGTTGTGGGTCTTGTACTCCATGACGGTGTATTACAGTAGTACTACAGTAGTGGCAGTATTAGTACCTGAGGCTGTCGTTGTGGGTCTTGTACTCCATGACGGTGTATTACAGTAGTACTACAGTAGTGGCAGTATTAGTACCTGAGGCTGTCGTTGTGGGTCTTGTACTCCATGATGGTGTATTACAGTAGTACTACAGTAGTGGCAGTATTAGTACCTGAGGCTGTCGTTGTGGGTCTTGTACTCCATGACGGTGTATTACAGTAGTACTACAGTAGTGGCAGTATTAGTACCTGAGGCTGTCGTTGTGGGTCTTGTACTCCATGATGGTGTATTACAGTAGTACTACAGTAGTGGCAGTATTAGTACCTGAGGCTGTCGTTGTGGGTCTTGTACTCCATGATGGTGTATTACAGTAGTACTACAGTAGTGGCAGTATTAGTACCTGAGGCTGTCGTTGTGGGTCTTGTACTCCATGATGGTGTATTACAGTAGTACTACAGTAGTGGCAGTATTAGTACCTGAGGCTGTCGTTGTGGGTCTTGTACTCCATGATGGTGTATTACAGTAGTACTACAGTAGTGGCAGTATTAGTACCTGAGGCTGTCGTTGTGGGTCTTGTACTCCATGATGGTGTATTACAGTAGTACTACAGTAGTGGCAGTATTAGTACCTGAGGCTGTCGTTGTGGGTCTTGTACTCCATGATGGTGTATTACAGTAGTACTACAGTAGTGGCAGTATTAGTACCTGAGGCTGTCGTTGTGGGTCTTGTACTCCATGATGGTGTATTACAGTAGTACTACAGTAGTGGCAGTATTAGTACCTGAGGCTGTCGTTGTGGGTCTTGTACTCCATGATGGTGTATTACAGTAGTACTACAGTAGTGGCAGTATTAGTACCTGAGGCTGTCGTTGTGGGTCTTGTACTCCATGATGGTGTATTACAGTAGTACTACAGTAGTGGCAGTATTAGTACCTGAGGCTGTCGTTGTGGGTCTTGTACTCCATGATGGTGTATTACAGTAGTACTACAGTAGTGGCAGTATTAGTACCTGAGGCTGTCGTTGTGGGTCTTGTACTCCATGATGGTGTATTACAGTAGTACTACAGTAGTGGCAGTATTAGTACCTGAGGCTGTCGTTGTGGGTCTTGTACTCCATGATGGTGTATTACACTAGTACTACAGTAGTGGCAGTATTAGTACCTGAGGCTGTCGTTGTGGGTCTTGTACTCCATGACGGTGTATTACAGTAGTACTACAGTAGTGGCAGTATTAGTACCTGAGGCTGTCGTTGTGGGTCTTGTACTCCATGATGGTGTATTACAGTAGTACTACAGTAGTGGCAGTATTAGTACCTGAGGCTGTCGTTGTGGGTCTTGTACTCCATGATGGTGTATTACAGTAGTACTACAGTAGTGGCAGTATTAGTACCTGAGGCTGTCGTTGTGGGTCTTGTACTCCATGATGGTGTATTACAGTAGTACTACAGTAGTGGCAGTATTAGTACCTGAGGCTGTCGTTGTGGGTCTTGTACTCCATGATGGTGTATTACAGTAGTACTACAGTAGTGGCAGTATTAGTACCTGAGGCTGTCGTTGTGGGTCTCGTACTCCATGATGGTGTATTACAGTAGTACTACAGTAGTGGCAGTATTAGTACCTGAGGCTGTCGTTGTGGGTCTTGTACTCCATGACGGTGTATTACAGTAGTACTACAGTAGTGGCAGTATTAGTACCTGAGGCTGTCGTTGTGGGTCTTGTACTCCATGATGGTGTATTACAGTAGTACTACAGTAGTGGCAGTATTAGTACCTGAGGCTGTCGTTGTGGGTCTTGTACTCCATGATGGTGTATTACAGTAGTACTACAGTAGTGGCAGTATTAGTACCTGAGGCTGTCGTTGTGGGTCTTGTACTCCATGATGGTGTATTACAGTAGTACTACAGTAGTGGCAGTATTAGTACCTGAGGCTGTCGTTGTGGGTCTTGTACTCCATGATGGTGTATTACAGTAGTACTACAGTAGTGGCAGTATTAGTACCTGAGGCTGTCGTCGTGGGTCTCGTACTCCATGATGGTGTATTACAGTAGTACTACAGTAGTGGCAGTATTAGTACCTGAGGCTGTCGTTGTGGGTCTTGTACTCCATGATGGTGTATTACAGTAGTACTACAGTAGTGGCAGTATTAGTACCTGAGGCTGTCGTTGTGGGTCTTGTACTCCATGATGGTGTATTACAGTAGTACTACAGTAGTGGCAGTATTAGTACCTGAGGCTGTCGTTGTGGGTCTTGTACTCCATGATGGTGTATTACAGTAGTACTACAGTAGTGGCAGTATTAGTACCTGAGGCTGTCGTTGTGGGTCTTGTACTCCATGATGGTGTATTACAGTAGTACTACAGTAGTGGCAGTATTAGTACCTGAGGCTGTCGTTGTGGGTCTTGTACTCCATGATGGTGTATTACAGTAGTACTACAGTAGTGGCAGTATTAGTACCTGAGGCTGTCGTTGTGGGTCTTGTACTCCATGATGGTGTATTACAGTAGTACTACAGTAGTGGCAGTATTAGTACCTGAGGCTGTCGTTGTGGGTCTTGTACTCCATGATGGTGTATTACAGTAGTACTACAGTAGTGGCAGTATTAGTACCTGAGGCTGTCGTTGTGGGTCTTGTACTCCATGATGGTGTATTACAGTAGTACTACAGTAGTGGCAGTATTAGTACCTGAGGCTGTCGTTGTGGGTCTTGTACTCCATGACGGTGTATTACAGTAGTACTACAGTAGTGGCAGTATTAGTACCTGAGGCTGTCGTTGTGGGTCTTGTACTCCATGATGGTGTATTACAGTAGTACTACAGTAGTGGCAGTATTAGTACCTGAGGCTGTCGTTGTGGGTCTTGTACTCCATGATGGTGTATTACAGTAGTACTACAGTAGTGGCAGTATTAGTACCTGAGGCTGTCGTTGTGGGTCTTGTACTCCATGATGGTGTATTACAGTAGTACTACAGTAGTGGCAGTATTAGTACCTGAGGCTGTCGTTGTGGGTCTTGTACTCCATGATGGTGTATTACAGTAGTACTACAGTAGTGGCAGTATTAGTACCTGAGGCTGTCGTTGTGGGTCTTGTACTCCATGATGGTGTATTACAGTAGTACTACAGTAGTGGCAGTATTAGTACCTGAGGCTGTCGTTGTGGGTCTTGTACTCCATGATGGTGTATTACAGTAGTACTACAGTAGTGGCAGTATTAGTACCTGAGGCTGTCGTTGTGGGTCTTGTACTCCATGATGGTGTATTACAGTAGTACTACAGTAGTGGCAGTATTAGTACCTGAGGCTGTCGTTGTGGGTCTTGTACTCCATGATGGTGTTGGTTGGAAGGTTCAGCACTCGTCTTAAAGTGTCTCTGATTCTGGAGGTCGTCGTTTGGTCGTTAGATGTTCTGTTCCAGATGGACAAGATGTCCTCCTGACAGGGAGACAGGTAGAGACAGACAGGTTCTCGGGGTTACTCAGTTTATATTACCTAAGTCCTGATCCGGATCTGAGGCCTATCAGGTCCAGGTCAGACTGTAAATCATAAATCCTGTCTGTCCCTGCTGAATTAAACCGTCTCTACTGTAGTAGTAGTACTATACTAGTACCTGGAAGCGTATGGAGACCACGGCTCCACAGATCTCTTCTCCCACCATGAACTGCTCTCCCACCATGGCCAGTATAATGTTCTCCCAGAATCGGCTGGCCAAACCTTTCCGAAGACGGATGATCCACTTCCCCCCATTGCGGTTAGAGTCATCCTGGGGGGGAGATGGGTGAGACAGACACAACACGGTTATAAAGGCTCGTCACCGACGCCCCCCCCAAGCTTATGAAGGCCCGTCACCGACGCCCCCCCCCCCCCAAGCTTATGAAGGCCCGTCACTGACGCCCCCCAGGTTGTGCAGGCCCGTCACTGACGCCCCCCAAGTTGTGCAGGCCCGTCACCGACGCCCCCCCCCCCCCCAAGCTTATGAAGGCCCGTCACTGACGCCCCCCAAGTTGTGCAGGCCCGTCATTGACACCCCAAGACAATCATGTCAAAATGACATGACAAATCTATGTTTAAATTAGGTACCGACTAATTTAATTAGGGTCGGGTTTAGGATCAGCGTGATTCATGTGGGTGACCTGTCCAGGTAAATCCCTGCATAGTACAGTTAGTGTGTGGTTACCTCCCACATGGGTTTTATGCCCTCCTTGAACAGGTGGAAGTCACTGTGTCCACTCAGATCACCTGGTCTGACCAGGTGACTGTACAACCTCCAGAACTGCTCCACCTGAAGACACACACAAACACATATACCTCAATTATTGATGAACCTGATGATCGATCAGTAAACGGGCATAGAAACATTTTCAAGTTAAAAGACCGTGTCAAGGATTGAGTTTCCTGCCACCTGTCCTCCTGAACTCTGAATGTTGTTTTGTGTTTGGAATGGTCTAGATGTCACCTGGAAACTCACCTGAACAAATGGCTTCCTGAGTTCTTAGTGAACTAACGAGTGACTTCCCAAGTCCACCAGTCCAACCAGAGAGAAGTCCCAGCTGATTTGACTGTAGTGGTGAGTGTTTCTGTTCTAACGTTTAAAGCGTTACCTGAAATGATTTGCTCACATGTGAATCTATAACAAAAACCAGGGGGCGGAGTCTCACAGGTATCACCTGGCGACAGGTAACATGGTGCCTGTTAGCAGATAGATCCTGTCGACCGGATTGTGAGCTGGGACACTTTATGGACTTCAAACTGAGACTTTTGCTGAATAAATTTATAAATAAAAAAATAAGACACTAAATGCAGTTTCTGTTCCACTAGGACTCTTTTATTCTTTGGAAGACACTGACACCGAAAACTGAGGGTCTCTACTCTCTAACGGCCCCCGGCACGAGTCTTTGGCCCTTACTATAATGTCCTTACTTACATTACTAACATACAAACCAACTCAACATAAGAAGGAAAATTACACACACGTTTAAATGTCTTACTCGTTAACTTCTGACCTTTATGACCATAATTACTACGTCCTTTTGGAAACGGATTTATAAACACAATAAAGACTTCTACGCCTTATAACCAGTGTGTTACAGCGTGTTACTGCATTTACCGAAGCCACGCTGCCGATCTGTCGAATGTTTTGTTCGTAACTCTGAGAACTTGCGGGACGACTCGGAGTTCTTCTGCTGTACCAGAAGGTGTAGTTATACTGGAGGGGGTGTTCACCTACACCTGGAGACACCATCTGTGGAGAGACAGAAAGACGGGTTAACGTTCCCCTGAACACGCCGTCTGCGAGACAGACGGGCTAACGTTCCCCTGAACACACCATCTGTGGAGAGACAGAAAGACGGGTTAACGTTCCCCTGAACACGCCGTCTGCGAGACAGACGGGCTAACGTTCCCCTGAACACGCCGTCTGAGCGACAGACGGGCTAACGTTCCCCTGAACACACCATCTGTGGAGAGACAGAAAGACGGGTAAACGTTCCCCTCAACACGCCGTCTGCTGGACAGACAGGTTAACGTTCCCCTCAACACGCCGTCTGCTGGACAGACGGGCTAACGTTCCCCTGAACACGCAGTCTGCTGGACAGACGGGCTAACGTTCACCTGAACACGCCGTCTGCGGGACAGACGGGCTAACGTTCCCCTGAACACGCCGTCTGCTGGACAGACGGGCTAACGTTCCCCTGAACACGCCGTCTGCTGGACAGACGGGCTAACGTTCACCTCAACACGCCGTCTGCTGGACAGACGGGCTAACGTTCCCCTCAACACGCCGTCTGCTGGACAGACGGGCTAACGTTCCCCTCAACACGCCGTCTGCTGGACAGACGGGCTAACGTTCCCCTCAACACGCCGTCTGCGGGACAGACGGGCTAACGTTCCCCTCAACACGCCGTCTGCGGGACAGACGGGCTAACGTTCCCCTCAACACGCCGTCTGCTGGACAGACGGGCTAACGTTCCCCTCAACACGCCGTCTGCGGGACAGACGGGCTAACGTTCCCCTCAACACGCCGTCTGCTGGACAGACGGGCTAACGTTCCCCTGAACACGCCGTCTGCTGGACAGACGGGCTAACGTTCCCCTGAACACGCCGTCTGCGGGACAGACGGGCTAACGTTCCCCTCAACACGCCGTCTGCTGGACAGACGGGCTAACGTTCCCCTGAACACGCCGTCTGCTGGACAGACGGGCTAACGTTCCCCTGAACACGCCGTCTGCGGGACAGACGGGCTAACGTTCCCCTCAACACGCCGTCTGCTGGACAGACGGGCTAACGTTCCCCTGAACACGCCGTCTGCTGGACAGACGGGCTAACGTTCCCCTGAACACGCCGTCTGCTGGACAGACGGGCTAACGTTCCCCTGAACACGCCGTCTGCGGGACAGACGGGCTAACGTTCACCTGTTTGTTGTTGGTTGTTTACCTTGCGTCGATTGTTGTTGTTGTTGTTGTTGGTCCCGTCACTGTTGTCATGGTGACACTCTGACTCTTCCTCGACCTCTTCTTCTATTGTCCTAAAACACAAACAGGAAGCACCCCAGTTAGCATTGCCTGCTAGCTAGCTGCTAACATGCTAATGTTTCTGAGTTCCTGAGTACGAATATCAGACACGTTACTCTGTGTACTCCTGTCACAGTACTACACTTTATTTGTACTACTTCACCCGAGTACAAATATCAGACACGTTACTCTGTGTACTCCTGTCACAGTACTACACTTTATTTGTACTACTTCACCTGAGTACAAATATCAGACACGTTACTCTGTGTACTCCTGTCACAGTACTACACTTTATATTACTTCACCTGAGTACAAATATCAGACACGTTACTCTGTGTACTCCTGTCACAGTACTACACTTTATATTACTTCACCTGAGTACAAATATCAGACACGTTACTCTGTGTACTCCTGTCACAGTACTACACTTTATATTACTTCACCTGAGTACAAATATCAGACACGTTACTCTGTGTACTCCTGTGACAGTACTACACTTTATTTGTACTACTTCACCTGAGTACAAATATCAGACACGTTACTCTGTGTACTCCGGTCACAGTACTACACTTTATATTACTTCACCTGAGTACAAATATCAGACACGTTACTCTGTGTACTCCTGTCACAGTACTACACTTTATATTACTTCACCTGAGTACAAATATCAGACACGTTACTCTGTGTACTCCTGTCACAGTACTACACTTTATATTACTTCACCTGAGTACAAATATCAGACACGTTACTCTGTGTACTCCTGTCACAGTACTACACTTTATATTACTTCATCTGAGTACAAATATCAGACACGTTACTCTGTGTACTCCTGTCACAGTACTACACTTTATATTACTTCACCTGAGTACAAATATCAGACACGTTACTCTGTGTACTCCTGTGACAGTACTACACTTTATTTGTACTACTTCACCTGAGTACAAATATCAGACACGTTACTCTGTGTACTCCGGTCACAGTACTACACTTTATATTACTTCACCTGAGTACAAATATCAGACACGTTACTCTGTGTACTCCTGTCACAGTACTACACTTTATATTACTTCACCTGAGTACAAATATCAGACACGTTACTCTGTGTACTCCTGTCACAGTACTACACTTTATATTACTTCACCTGAGTACAAATATCAGACACGTTACTCTGTGTACTCCTGTCACAGTACTACACTTTATATTACTTCACCTGAGTACAAATATCAGACACGTTACTCTGTGTACTCCTGTCACAGTACTACACTTTATATTACTTCACCTGAGTACAAATATCAGACACGTTACTCTGTGTACTCCTGTGACAGTACTACACTTTATTTGTACTACTTCACCTGAGTACAAATATCAGACACGTTACTCTGTGTACTCCTGTCACAGTACTACACTTTATATTACTTCACCTGAGTACAAATATCAGACACGTTACTCTGTGTACTCCTGTCACAGTACTACACTTTATATTACTTCACCTGAGTACAAATATCAGACACGTTACTCTGTGTACTCCTGTCACAGTACTACACTTTATATTACTTCACCTGAGTACAAATATCAGACACGTTACTCTGTGTACTCCTGTGACAGTACTACACTTTATATTACTTCACCTGAGTACAAATATCAGACACGTTACTCTGTGTACTCCTGTCACAGTACTACACTTTATATTACTTCACCTGAGTACAAATATCAGACACGTTACTCTGTGTACTCCTGTGACAGTACTACACTTTATTTGTACTACTTCACCTGAGTACAAATATCAGACACGTTACTCTGTGTACTCCTGTCACAGTACTACACTTTATATTACTTCACCTGAGTACAAATATCAGACACGTTACTCTGTGTACTCCTGTCACAGTACTACACTTCATATTACTTCACCTGAGTACAAATATCAGACACGTTACTCTGTGTACTCCTGTCACAGTACTACACTTTATTTGTACTACTTCACCTGAGTACAAATATCAGACACGTTACTCTGTGTACTCCTGTCACAGTACTACACTTTACTTCACAGTAATTTTATCTCATTAATCAGCAGCATTAAGTTATTTACTGATAGCTAACGAAGCAAACGAAGCTAACGACGCTAACAGCTAACGAAGCAAACGAAGCTAACAGCTAACGACGCTAACAGCTAACGAAGCAAACGAAGCTAACGAAGCTAACAGCTAACGACGCTAACAGCTAACGAAGCTAACAGCTAACGAAGCTAACAGCTAACGGAGCTAACAGCTAACGGAGCTAACAGCTAACGAAGCTAACAGCTAACTGTGCGGACCTACGTGCTGTTTGCTCTGTTAGCTGTTAGCTGTTAGCTCCGTTAGCTCCTTTAACAGTGTGTGTGTTTCCGGGCTGTTAGCAGGGCCTCTTACCGCTCCAGCTGGTTCATCCCTGCTGCTCCTGCTGCTCCTGCTGCTCCTGCTGCTCCTGCTGCTCCTGCTGCTCCTGCTGCTCCTGCTGCTCCAGACTCTGTGTCCGTCACTTTATTGACTTATTTATTTACTAATATTTCCTCTCCTGCCTCACGAGGCTCCGCTGCCGCTGCTTCTCTCGATCAGGTGCTGTCACTGCGCATGTGCGGCAGGAAACCTTTTGAAGGTGCCCAGCGCCACCTGCTGTACGGGAGCATGTAGCAGAAACCATGTTTGTTGGGCATAACAACAAAAAACATATACAGCCTATATATATATATATATATATATATATATATTAGATGCTGTTGTGGTGGGAAAAGTGTGTTTGAATAAACAAATCAGGCAAACACTTGTCTTTCTGTGAATTTTATTCAAGTCTTCTGCAGAAGGACTCACAGCAACACACATAGTGTGCTCGAATAAGTGAGGAGAGCCTGTTATTTATCCAGTTTTAGGTCAATCATATCGTCCCACAGAGACACGTGAAGTCTGGATAACACAGAACGGAGAGATTTGACTGTTTACACAGATTCAGAGCCACATCACTCATGAGTCCAGGGTTAATAATAATAATAATAATAAATTTTATTTATAATGCACTTTACATTTCAGGGAAATCTCAAAGTGCTACAGCAACAAGGGGTTAAAACAGTTCCAGAAAATAACAATCGCAATAAAACACCATAACAAAAGATTTAAAACCATGACTGTTAAAAGGCCTTTTGAAATAGAAAAGTCTTTAGGCCCTTCTTAAAAACCTCCAGAGTTTGTGGGGCCCTTAGGGGCTCTGGGAGGGCATTCCAGAGCCGTGGGGCGACTGCCTGGAAGGCCCTGTCTCCCATGGTGGAGAGTTTAGTCCTTGGTTGGTGCAGGCAGTGGGTAGAAGTGGAGGAGCGGAGGTTTCTTAAGGTGGTGAGTGGGGTGAGGAGTTCACTGGTTACATGCAATATGTTGATATATGTAAGATGTAAGTTGATATATGTTAATATGAAAGGTGATTAAGTAAGAATGTAACAATGTGAGAATATAAGAAATAAATAAAATGTAAAAAAAAATACTGAATGTGAATGATTCAACAACCAGAAAATAATCTCAGAAATAATTCAGATTCAACTTCACTTTCTTCCCCTCTGAAAGGTGGGACCCACTCTATTGAATCAGTTAGTAGTTGCATGTACTGACCCATAGATGATTTAATTGCTGTGGCGATCACAGATCTATCACAAGGGATCACACAGCGTGTCAAGAATGATGAACAGTGGGGTCAACATTTTAAACAGCACATTCTTCCTTCCGGAAGAGTCCTGACTCTTCTTCTCGTGCTGTAGATCATCCAGGTGGGAGACGACATGAGTCATATTGTCCGAGACATCTGGGATGTAAATTATGGTGTCTGTCAGGTTCAGCGGGGCCATGTACGGCTGCTCCGGCCTGGATCTTTTCTTCAGTCAGGTCCGGTCTGAACTAGGATATTTTGTTGGGTCAGATGTACGACCAGGCTGGGCCAGTTAAGCCTGGTCCCCACCTTCACCAGTTTAATAAACTTACTTCTATTATAGTCAAAAACTTCTCTGGAGCCGGAGTTGGTGCAAAAGAGTTTATTCCAAATCAGGACAGATAAACCCGTCCAACATCCCAGCAGGTCGGAGGATGAAGTCCATCCTGTGGTCTGCAGACATTCTTATATACAGTGGGGGAAAAAAGTATTTGACCCCTTGCTGATTTTGCAGGTTTGCCCACTTACAAAGAATGCAACGATCTATAATTTTAATTATATGTACATTCTAACAGTGAAAGACAGAATCCCAAAGAAAATTCCAGAAAATCACATCATATGAATTTATAAAAATTGATAACCATCTGATGAGGAAAAACAAGTATTTGACCCCCTGGACAAACAGCATGTTAATATTTTGTAGAAAAGCCATTATTGGCCAGCACAGATGTCAAACGGTTTTTATAGTTGGTGACAAGGTTTGTGCACATTTCGGCAGGGATGTTGGCCCACTCCTCCCTGCAGACAGCCTCCAAATCATTCAGGTTCCGAGGTTGTCGCCTGGCAACTCGAATTTTAAGCTCCCTCCAAAGATTTTCAATTGGATTCAGGTCTGGAGACTGGCTAGGCCACTCCAGAACCTTGATGTGCTTCTTCTTCAGCCACTCTTTTGTTGCTTTGGCGGTGTGCTTAGGGCCGTTGTCGTGCTGAAACACCCATCCTCGACCCATCTTCAGCTCTCTCACTGAGGGAAGGAGATGTTGGTCCAGAATTCCACGATACATGGCCCCGTCCATCCTCCCCTCAATACGATGGAGTTGTCCCGTCCCCTTGGCTGAAAAGCACCCCCAAAGCATGATGTTGCCACCACCATGCTTGACGGTGGGGATGGTGTTCTTTGGGTTGTACTCGGTGTTCTTTGCCCTCCAAACACGACGAGTTGAGTTGAGGCCAAAAAGTTCTATTTTGGTCTCATCTGACCACATCACCTTCTTCCAGGCCTCTTCTGAGTCGTCCAGGTGGTGAATGGCGAACTTCATGCGGGCCTGTACATGTTTCTTCTTGAGCAGGGGGACCTTGCGTGCGCTGCAGGATCTTTTATAGTCTTTTATACAGGTAACGAGGTGAGGCAGGTGTATTTGATGTAGATAATTGGTTGGGATTGGGCTGTGTCTTAAAGAAAGACTAACTGGCTTGTAGGAGCCAGAATACTTGCTGTTTGGTAGGGGGTCATATATTTGTTTTTCCTCATCAGATGGTTATCAATTTTTATAAATTCATATGATGTGATTTTCTGGAATTTTCTTTGGGATTCTGTCTTTCACTGTTAGAATGTACATATGATTAAAATTATAGATTGTTGCATTCTTTGTAAGTGGGCAAACCTGCAAAATCAGCAAGGGGTCAAATACTTATTTCCCCCACTGTATATCTCTTCTGGGCTGGTTTGCCCCTCCTCTCCTCATGGTGAACTTCTTTTCCTCTGTTCCCCAGCTGTCAGTTATTACTGCATTGTTGACTTTCTACATCTTTATACTACTGGATAAGAAGTTCATCATTTTACATTTCAACTTCAGTCTCACACGTTTTTTTAAAGGTTACGCCTCCTTAATTTGACACACAATCGTATTTCTTAAGCAATTAATTTAAGAATAACATAAGTAAAGTTGCATTTTTCATTAATGCTTGGTTTCTTACAGCATTCTTGATGTTATGCTGGCTGCTTTCTGCTTATCATCTTTTTGAGTCAGATGGTTTTTTGGTCATCCTCTGTCGTGTTTTTATCAAGCGTCCGATGGTTTTTTGGTCATCCTATGTCGTGTTTTTATCAAGCGTCCGATGGTTTTTTAGTCATCCTCTGTCGTGTTTTTATCAAGCGTCCGATGGTTTTTTAGTCATCCTCTGTCGTGTTTTTATCAAGCGTCCGATGGTTTTTTGGTCATCCTCTGCCGTGTTTTTATCAAGCGTCCGATGGTTTTTTAGTCATCCTCTGTCGTGTTTTTATCAAGAGTCCGATGTTTTTTTAGTCATCGTCTGTTGTGTTTTTATCAAGAGTCCGATGGTTTTTTGGTCATCCTCTGTCGTGTTTTTATCAAGCGTCCGATGGTTTTTTGGTCATCCTCTGTCGTGTTTTTATCAAGCGTCCGATGGTTTTTTGGTCATCCTCTGTCGTGTTTTTATCAAGCGTCCGATGGTTTTTTGGTCATCCTCTGTCGTGTTTTTATCAAGCGTCCGATGGTTTTTTGGTCATCCTCTGTCGTGTTTTTATCAAGCATCCGATGGTTTTTTGGTCATCCTCTGTCGTGTTTTTATCAAGAGTCCGATGGTTTTTTGGTCATCCTATGTCGTGTTTTTATCAAGAGTCCGATGGTTTTTTGGTCATCGTCTGTTGTGTTTTTATCAAGCGTCCGATGGTTTTTTGGTCATCCTCTGTCGTGTTTTTATCAAGAGTCCGATGGTTTTTTGGTCATCCTCTGTCGTGTTTTTATCAAGCGTCCGATGGTTTTTTGGTCATCCTCTGTCGTGTTTTTATCAAGCGTCCGATGGTTTTTTGGTCATCCTCTGTCGTGTTTTTATCAAGAGTCCGATGGTTTTTTGGTCATCCTCTGTCGTGTTTTTATCAAGCGTCCGATGGTTTTTTGGTCATCCTCTGTCGTGTTTTTATCAAGAGTCCGATGGTTTTTTGGTCATCCTCTGTCGTGTTTTTATCGAGCGTCCGATGGTTTTTTAGTCATCCTCTGTCGTGTTTTTATCAAGACTCCGATGGTTTTTTGGTCATCCTCTGTCGTGTTTTTATCAAGCGTCCGATGGTTTTTTGGTCATCCTCTGCCGTGTTTTTATCAAGCGTCCGATGGTTTTTTGGTCATCCTCTGTCGTGTTTTTATCAAGAGTCCGATGGTTTTTTGGTCATCGTCTGTTGTGTTTTTATCAAGCGTCCGATGGTTTTTTGGTCATCCTCTGTCGTGTTTTTATCAAGCGTCCGATGTTTTTTTGGTCATCCTCTGTCGTGTTTTTATCAAGCGTCCGATGGTTTTTTGGTCATCCTCTGTCATGTTTTTATCAAGCGTCCGATGGTTTTTTGGTCATCCTCTGTCGTGTTTTTATCAAGAGTCCGATGGTTTTTTGGTCATCGTCTGTTGTGTTTTTATCAAGCGTCCGATGGTTTTTTGGTCATCCTCTGTCGTGTTTTTATCAAGCGTCCGATGGTTTTTTGGTCATCCTCTGTCGTGTTTTTATCAAACGTCCGATGGTTTTTTGGTCATCCTCTGTCGTGTTTTTATCAAGAGTCCGATGGTTTTTTGGTCATCCTATGTCGTGTTTTTATCAAGAGTCCGATGGTTTTTTGGTCATCGTCTGTTGTGTTTTTATCAAGCGTCCGATGGTTTTTTGGTCATCCTCTGTCGTGTTTTTATCAAGAGTCCGATGGTTTTTTGGTCATCGTCTGTTGTGTTTTTATCAAGCGTCCGATGGTTTTTTTGGTCATCCTCTGTCGTGTTTTTATCAAGCGTCCGATGGTTTTTTGGTCATCCTCTGTCGTGTTTTTATCAAGCGTCCGATGGTTTTTTGGTCATCCTCTGTCGTGTTTTTATCAAGAGTCCGATGGTTTTTTGGTCATCCTCTGTCGTGTTTTTATCAAGCGTCTGATGGTTTTTTG